CCTATTGAGGTTGATTATTTCCTATGTCGTTAATGAAGAGTGAGAATAAAAGAGGTGCTAAATTGCTTCCTTGAGGGGCACCACTGTTTGCAATAAATTGGAATGACTTGTGACCCCTATAATCTACGAATAGGATACTTCAGTTAAGTATGAGCAGAAAAGGTTTAGAATACTAGGAATTCTTGATGTACCTTTCTTATTCTGAATGTACGACCAGAAATTGGTAAGATCTTCTTTGATTGCCCTTTCAGATTTATTTTCATATTCTCTGTATGCTAAATTGCTGTATGCACAAATTTTGGAAAAAAAATTATTTAATTTTCACCATAATGTCCTTGCAACTCTATATACTCTTCCCATCGACATTCAATAAGTTCAATACCGTTTTTATAATAATAACTGTCTTGCTCTCCAGAATAGTTATCAACTGTCAACATTGCTTCTTCACTGTTGGAAAATCTTTGACCACTGAGCCTTTTTTTTAAGTTTGCTCGTCTCGGCAGCTCATATGGCTTCGTTTAAACTCTGCTTCCCAATATTTTACTGTTTTAAACATAGGAGCAGACTCGCCCAGAGTAGAATGTAGTTCAGCTTTTAATTTGGTTGGGCTGAGGCCTTTCAAATAAAAGTATTATACAACATAACGATGACCAGTTTTCTCCATTTTCACAAATTCACGAAAAATGTTCGCTATTGATGGATGCCAAACAAATACTAAACAATGCAGCGTCTTCAAACTTGAAACATGCGCTTTATAGATTGTGTACTTTCTAATACAGTTATATTTTTCAAAAACCACCGCGATTTCTAGGTCAGGCCAAGTATTTCTAGGACCACCCTGGTAACCTTTTCATAGAAATCTTACCTGAAGAAAGTCTCTAACGAAATTATTTGCCCTCTTGGAGTTGGGTCCTGGTACTTCATACAACGGGCACTGCTGACCAGCAACGTAAATTGAATCTACTTCCCTAATATAATACTGTTGTCGCGTTCTTATTATCAAGAAGTCAGTTTCTGGAATATTATGTTCATACACTGGAGCCCTGTGAATGTTATATTCTTAGAAATGTGTTTAAAAAAAAAGACGCAGCCAATATTTACCGATACATGTTATTTTCTATGGCCTGGATGGACTGGCCCGGGTGCAATATACCCAAAAACGGAGAAGTATGAGCGTAGGCAGTCTCCCCGTATCTATATGTAGGAGGACCAGAATCTTTCGCAGCTTTCCTCTTGTAATAGTTTTTGATTTTGGAACACATTCCGACCTTGAAAGAGAATTCGGTGAGTTCAAAGAAGTTGGGAAGAATTCTCAAACTCTTACCTGATTCATCAACGGGGGATGCTCTTCACAGAATTCTACCAGAATTAAATCACCGTCTCGGCCAGTCAAGTCTTCAGGGGTTCTCATAAAGAAAACATCGCCACCTCCGGAAGCCATTCTCTCAGCTTCTCTTTGCTGAAAAATATACACCATATATTTCATTTTTCATCTGTCATTATTATATTAATACGGTCAAGAGTGTCTATACATGAAAAATATATCAGAATATGAATACAGTATGTGGCGTGTGTTGAAGCCAAACACGTATAAAAATTATTAAAGAACATAGTTCAGATATTTTTACATTATGTTTCAGTGGAAAATAATCGTAGTTGCTATATATATTGAATCGCAATTGCTCGTCAAAGATTACTCCTAGATCCTTCCTTAAAGCGACACATGTAAGTGGATTACCATTCAGGTAATTTCATTTCACTTTGTGAAAGCTGATGAAACTACATTTACTGTATAAATTGTTTTCAATACACCACCTATCCAAGCTATTTGAATCATGTTGAAACGAAGTAACATCGTCTGATGATTCTATTGGCCTGAAAACTTCAAAATCATCTGCATACATCGGAAATTTTTGAATTTTCAAAACATTTCAAGCCAAACTGAAACCACCAAAGCAGGTGTGCCCCAAGGCTCAGCCCTTGGACCTCTACTCTATACATTACATATTCTGTCATTGAAAACTGCTAACATTATAGGTAGATACTTCAAATTTGCAGATTATACTGTTCTTGTATATAAGGGTAAATACTTGAAACAACTCGAAACACTAGTAAATACCGACCTTGAAAGGTACTACAGATGGCTTGCAAAAATAAACTCCAGATCAATGTAGGGAAGACTACTTTTATAATCTTCTCTCAGAAAAACATGAAACAACAGGACATCATAGTGGAGATAGGAGGTACAGAAGTAATGAGAGTCCATAATATCAAATATCTTGGACCAATAGTCGATGAAAACCTAGGCTGGAATAACCATATCACCCATGAAGAAAAAAGGAATTCCAATGGTTAGTGCCCCTTATTGTTGTAGAACCTACTTACGCCCATCTTCACTCCATCAAATATACACTGCATATTTCTTATCAATTTTTAGCTATTTAATTCCTATATTGAAAAAAGTAAAAATACTTCAAAACAAAGTCGTGAAAATGTTATTCAGGCTTGACTACAGAACCTCAGCTGATACTTTATACAGTCTGACCAAGATACTGCCTATTCAGGATGTTCTAGAAATCGAACAAAGTAAATTTGCATAGAAGGTTATACATGAACAAGTCAAATGTAGTACCAACTTCACTTTCGATAATCAGCTTCACAAATACAATACTTGTACCCATTATAATGTCTTTATAGAACCTGTACGTACTAATATTGGCTTAATAAATCCCATTACACTATGTGTGAAAACTTATAATTTTCTTCCCAAGGAAATAACAGATAGCCCTAGTTTCAGTATCTTTAAGAATAAAATAAAGAGTTTTTATAGTAGCATACTCAATGAAGGAACGGCTTAAATCTATTCAATTCTCTGTATTAATTACTATTAAGTTTTTTATTTTATTCACATTTGTATTATGTATTCTCAA